GATGATGATTTTGAAGATTTATTAAAGTCGCATGAAAGTCTTAATAAGAATAATTCTCAGGGCATAGAAAATTATAATAAATGTATAGAAATAGAATATATAATTCGATCATTTGATAATATAGAGAGATTAGAAAAGAATACTAATCTTTTGAATTATTAGGAAAATGTAAAGAATAGTATGCCAGAACTTTATAAGTTAGCTATATCTGTGCTATCAGTTCCAGCTACGCAGGTATCCGTAGAAAGAGCATTTTCTAGCCTTAAGTTTATACTCTCTGCGCAGAGAACTAAATTAAATCCTGAAATTTTAGAAAATATTTTAGTTATCCGTTCTAATTCTCTTTTTCAACATAAATAGTATACATTTTATTATATTTAAGTGTTATTTTATTCATCATTGTATTTACGCATGTTTGTTTTTATTTTATTTATTTATGAAATAAAAAAAATTAATTTGTCTAATTAATATTTACTAAGTTTAATAAAAATATCTATTAGATTATTATGGTTAAATTAAATAAGAAATTATAAATTAAAAAGATTTTTCTCTAAAATTAATATATACATGGTTAATGATTAATTTTATTTAAAATCAAATTTATAAAAACCGGAACAAACCGAAAGAAACCGTTATAAATTATAAACCGAACCGATATGAATTTTTTTTAAAAAAACCGAAATGGAACACCTTTATAAAATTTTAAACTAAAAACCGGAACAAACTGAACCGTTATGCTTAACGGTTCGAAACTCTGTTTATATATATTAAAAATAAATATATATTGATTAATATAATTAATTTAAAAACATACGACATAAACAATTTTTTATAATTACTCTTTTTTATTTCTTTTGGAAATAATTATATATTAAAAGAATGATTACGCAAGATAATCAAAAATATTCAACCCTCCTAAAAAATTAATGAAGTTCGATTTGTTCTTTGCTAATGTAATTCTTGTTTTGTTATATTGTGGCGTTTCCTAAACAGGCAGAGTTGTTAGGCCTGGCTATTGAGACATTAAAATCACCTACTTTAATAATACTATCCTTATGAGGTAATTTATTTAAAAGATTCTTAGTTCGCTGTAGAAGGTTTTGTCGTTATTTGATATATGTTGAATAAGTATATTTTTTATAACTAGATTTAAATTTAACAAATGCGATTGGATATTGGATAATAGTTGACAAATTTATTTAGCTTAATGTGTAACAGAATGGCAACCTTCACCCATAACTGTTTAGCTTTAGAGCTACAATTAAACGTACAATCAGAGGTGTCGCACCTTCAGGCGAGTTTTCTTAAACAGGAGGATTTCATACTTTTGATCGTTAATTAGTTGCTTTCGCATAGCTTTTTATTAAGCGATCTAATATTTAAATAAATTATTTTGATAACTGGGTTTTCATTGTTAGATTTTTATTTACACTATTGTTGTGATGTAGTTTATAGAAAAGGAGGTCGATTATTTATATAATCAAAAATGTATAATCGACAACCAAAATTTACCCTTTTTCAAGTTTTTTATTAAATTACCTTAACTTTGTAAAACTCCCTTTAAAATAATATATTTATTTGTATAAATGCCATTTTATTTTATGATTTATAGAATTTTAATAAATAAACACAAAGTTTTCGAGAAAATCATTCCTACTCCAAATTTAACCCTATATTTAAAATTTATAAAAGCCTATAGATTTAATTTAACATCATATGATATAAATAATAAAAATACTTTCGTATTTTATAAAAATTATTAACGCATGTTTTATTTTTAAATTTTATCATTTTCATGATTTTATCTTTACCATTTTATTTAATTATATGATTTTATAACAATATAACGAATTCTGTGGATAATATTTAATAATTCTAAATTTTTTAATCATTAATAAAGTTAAGGTATAATCAGAGTTGTTAAAGGATCGAATCAAAAGATCGCCGATCCTGGATTCAATCCTAAATTTGTCAATTTTCTAGGATTTAAGATCCTGACCTTAAATTGTGGATCGTGATCGAGATAATTTTTTTAAATATTCGATCCCGATCCTTTTAAAAATTATTTTTTTACTTAAAAAGCAATAAATAAAATAAAAATTTTGAAAATTAAATTTAAATATTATTTAAAAAAAAATATCTATCTACATCATATTTTATAAACCACCATTCCTCCAGATTTTATATTTCAACAATCCCAAATTTTTTGTAAGGACAAGTTATATTTATTTATTAACTATATTATAATATAAATTCTAGGTTTTAATAATGTTATCCATTATAAATTTAGAAGATGATACATCTACTTCTATTGATGTGATAGCAGATATAAGTGAGAATGAAAATCTTTTACCATTTCATAATTTACGTAAGTATTTTGCTTTATGTGAAATGGATGGAAATAACCCATACAATGTGCAAAATTCTTTTTATACAAAAACAAAATATCTTCTTGAAAGATTAGCAGTTCAAACCTAAAGAGGCATTTAGAAGTAATTAATTCTTTTAATAATACAATTTTTATTATTTGTGAAGATCGTAACAATATGCATATAATAAAAATTATAGATTATCTTCACTATATGATAACAGTAATATATTGGCATCAATAATTCACCCAAAATTTAAGCTCAATTGGCCTTTTATTAATCTGCTACAAAATTTAATGCTAAAAGAAAGGTTAATTGCCTATTTAGAAAATATAGAGGGTTAACCATATGCAGATCCTTCAAATGTGCATGGATCGATATCACTAGGAAGGGGCGCGCAGGAGCTCGAGCACCCTGTTAAGCAAATTTTAATGGCTCCTTAATATCCCCATGAACTAAAAATAAAATTTTTTTCATTGCCCCTGAACGATTTCTTTTATAATTCTATCAAGTAATATATAGATTTAATTTTATTATTTAAAAATTAATAAGACTATATAAATTTTTATTAAATGAATACTATTTTAATTATTAGATTAGAATAATACATATAAATTATATTTTCACTATGTCAGCTTTCAATCAAATTCTGTATTAAAAATAGAATATCAATATCACTCACTAAATATTAATTTAGCATTAACAGTTGAAACTTAATTGACTTTTATATTTAGATTATTATATAAACCTAATTAAATAAATATAACAAATTTAATATTGTATTTAGCCGAGTTCAAAATCACTAATCAACTATAGTATTCATTTTTAAATTTAATTACCATGCCTCTTTCTAAAAATATTTTCAAGGTCCAAATAAGTATAAGAGATTTCTGTTTATAATCCTCTATTATATATAATTGATTATAAAATATTAGGTAAAATGCCACTTTTACAGACGTATTTGACAGTTATATAATAAATTAGTTAATATTATAATAAATTTTACTAATAAATGCCTTTGATAATAAATATAAGTAACAATTTGCATTAAATTCTTTAACGCCATCTAATTTAAATTAATATTAAAATTAAACATCTTATATTCATTCCATACTGGATGTAATAAATTAGATATCTTTTCTTCTCCTTTTTACGTGTTTTTAGGAAAGCTAATTTTTTCTTCTCTGAAAAATAGTTTTGAGTTAAATTTTTAATACGAGTATATTTTTGATATTATTACAAACTACTATTATTTTAAGATATAATATACCAACTTGAGGTGGTGCGACAATTATATATAAAATCTTATTTGCTTTTTTCATATCATTCTGTTTCTTATTATATTGTTACAAAATGTTTCATTTCTTTTATGGCATCCTTGCCATGTAAATAACTAAAGGCTTCAATATATTTGCATAATTTCTTCTAAAGATTTTTAATGTTTTTCTGATATGAGCTAAGTTTATGTATCATTAAAAATGGAAGATAAATCTTTTAGAAATTTAATATCTCACAATAATTTTCTCGGCTACTTATCTAGCTTCCATCATATCATCTAAGAGGAAGCTCTAACCCCAATATAATTTGATGATTTGGAATGGTGGTTTGTATTATCTATTTAAAAGATGGGTTGATTTGGTTAGGCGTATAAATTTTTCATTATTTGTCCATTCTACAAAACATTGTCTAAAATGGTAACAAAGAGTTATATTAGTTTCATGAGCTTTTGTCAATGTAAGTTGCTAAGAATCTTATTATATTATGTGGTTTTTAAAAACCATTATCAATTGAAGCATATGTATGAATTAATTAACTCTTTTTATCACTTGTAATTCTTTAGACGTAAAATTTTTTATATCAGCAATCGAAAATATTTTATACTGTAATAAATAGATTATATATTAAAAAATATTATTTTTAGAAATGTCTTTTTATAATTAATTATATGCTAGTTAATTTTGTTATAATATGATAAATGACAAAATATGAAATTCAGAATAATTGTTCAGAGTTAGCAAGTTTTAATAAAGTTTGATATTAAAAGAAACAAGAAAGAAACAACTTTGTATTTTGGTTTTAAATTACTTTTATTTCTACTTTTAAAAAATAAAATAATAATAATAATATGTATAATAATCAACTAGTATATATACTAAAACATTTCAATAGATATTTAAATTAATACTCAATTAATATCAAAATAAATTATTTCACAAATTTGAATAAACAACACAATTAACATTCCCCTCCTCGACAAAGTATAAAGTTACTGCTCGGTGGGCGCATAAGTCTGTTTGAGTAGCGTGAGTCCATACGTTTTCTTAGGTTTGAAAAGTTGCTGTACGTTATCATTATCATAAGGAATAATTGATCAAATTTGAATATATGGAATACGGAATAAAATTTTAAATTTGGAAAAAAAGAATTTGGAAAAAAAGAATTTGGAATAAAAATTTTGGAATATGGAATGATAAATATTTAGAATTCCGTAAGAATGATATTATATAAAAATTTTGGAATATGGAATGATAAATATGTAGAATTCCGTAAGAATGATAAATCAAAAAAGATTATTATATAATATTTCGCGTTTTTTCAAATTTTGCGTTTTAAATATTTTATTTTAATAATTTAAGTTATAAAATCTTTTAAATAAGAAGATTTTTGTTTAATTCTTAATGGTCTGAAAGGTATCTTACTATTTTCACTTATATCTACACTTCCCTCCTTACAAGAATTCTTAGGGTCACTTTCATAATATTTAAATCTATTATAACATTCCCTTTTTCGTAACTGGTCTATATGTCTCCTTACTAAACCTTTATCCGTATTAACTTGGAACATGGTGTCACTCTCTTTGTGCCTGATGTTGCCTTTGCACCACGTGTCGTCACTCTGTTTCTTGTACCAAACGAAATCTCCTACATTAAAGGTTCGATTTCTCGGTAGCGATATGTTGACTTTGTCAATTTCATCCTCCAATGGTTTCAATAAGTCCCACTTTATTCTAATATCGCGGTTAAACACTCTTTTGGATGGTGTGACACCTGTAGTATCATTCGGAGTGTTTCTGTAGTTAAACAAGAATCTGTCCAGTGCAGTTTCTAAGTCAATTTTTATGTTTCTTTTCATGTGAGCTTTGAATGTTCTCACCATACGTTCAGCTTGTCCATTAGATTGCTGATGGTAGGCGGATGTTAGTACATGTTTTATTCCATAGTTACTACAAAATATCTCAAAGTCTTTGCTTGTAAAGTTGGTACCGTTATCTGTAACAATGGTTTCAATGCCAAATAGTGAAATAGTTCTAAAAATTTCTTTCAACGTGAATTCAGTCGTGATGTTTTTTACGGGAACTATAATTGGGAATTTACTATAGGCATCGACGATTATTAACCAATTTTTTGTAAAAAATGGACCCGCATAGTCTACGTGAATCCTTTCAAAAGGTTTAGTCGCTAATACCCATGGATTTTGTATTTTCTTTGAATTGTCGTGAAAAATATTACAATCGTCGCAACTTCTAACTTCCAAATCAATGTCGTTGACCATACCAGACCACCACATGCGATCTTTGGCTAAGGATTTAATTTTACCTGCTCCCATGTGACCTTCATGTAGTGCCTTTAATATGTTTTTTCTCAGACTTGTTGGAATTATTATTTTGTTGCTTTTGTACAGTCAATTTTTAATAATACTAAGTTCATATTCAATATTTTCATAAGTTTTGTTTTTAATAGGCACATTATTTCTTATATCATTAATAACTTGAGATAATTCAAAATCTTTGGACGTTTCATCGCGTATTCGATCAAAACTAAGAGGTATATCGCCAAAGTCATTTATAATTGCGATATCATCAATAACGTCATCATCAATTACTTGTGGTAGTCTTGAGAGGCAATCAGGAACAACAATGTATTTACCAGCTTATAGCTGATGTTAAAGTCGTAACCCCCCAAAATTATACTCCACTTCTGTAACCTCAATGACATAGTGCTATTATCTTTGAGCCCTTTGGTGAAAATATGGATTAGCGGCTTGTGGTCCGTTACAATAGTGAACTTAGTCCCTATCAAGTATTCTTGAAATCTCTTGATAGCAAACATAATGGCCAGAGCTTCACGCTCAATATTGGTATAATTTATCTCGGACTTTGCTAACGTTCTCGAGGCAAAAGCTATTGGCTTTTCTTTGCCATCCTTTTCGGTGTGAAACAAAACAGCTCCTAAACCTCTTTTAGATGCATCAGTCGCAATTCCGATAGGTAATTCAGGATTAAAGTACGTCAAAGCTGGAGGAAGACTAATCAACGTCTTAAGATCATCAAACTTTTGGAGTGTTCTAAATTCCACTCCCATTTTTTCTTGTTGACATTCTTGTATAAAGGATCAGCTATTTCAGCAAAGTTGTTCAAAAATTTTATGTAGTAGCCCACCATACCCGGAAACGTTGACAATTCGGCAGCTGATTTAGGTTCCGGCATACTAACGATCGCCTCGATCTTGTCATGGTTGGCGTAGATCCCATTGGCGTCGATATCGTGTCCTAAGAACCTCAGACTTTTTTTGAAGAATAAGCTTCTTGCAAAATTAGGCACTAAGCCATAAGATAATATTCTTTCAAAAACTCTTTTTATGTTGTTGAAATGAGCTTCGTCACTACTTCCCGTTATTAATAGGTCATCAATATAAAAGATGACATCTTTCATGTCACCGAAAATTTGATCCATAATCTGTTGAAAAACTGCAGAAGAAGTCTTTAACCCAAAAGGAAGTCTAGTAAACCGGTAGTATCCCCTGTGTGTAGATATGGTTAATATGTTTCTGCAGTATGTCGATAGGGATTTGTAAGAACGCGTCTTTGAAATCGATCTTGCTGAATTTCTTCCCCTCCTTGAGCTTAGCTATAAGATCGTTTATTCTTGGAAGTGGGTATCTGAAATCTTCAAGTGCAGGATTAACAGTGTCTTTGAAATCGGCGCAAACCATAACGCTCCCATTTTCTTTGTAGACGGCGGTTATAGGACTTGCCCATCGAACATCCGTCACCGGCTCAATGACTCCCTCGTCTAGTGTTGTTAAAAAGTCGAGTTCACCCGACTCCGACTCAGAGTCTGAAGTCGTTAGTCGTGAACTCGAGTCGAGCACATGAGTTTTCAACTTGAGTGAATTTAAGTCAACTAGAGGACGAGTATTTAGAATTAGTATTGTATTGTATTATTGTGTTTGTGTATATTTTTGTTTGTTACAATTAATTAATGATTTTCAAGCCCAAATTTTAAGCAAAATTTGCTTTGATAAGAATTTTAAATCTTCTTTTTTGTAAAATAAAATCTAATTTAATTTAAATATCTTTTGACTCAAAGCATTCATTCTTGGTCTTGAGATGATGATGATTTGATGAGTATGACTTGGTCTGGGGGGTGGTTGAAGAGGGGGGGGGGGGTATTTTGATATGGGTATCAAATAAAAGCTAATTTAAATATCTTTTGACTCTAAGCATTTATTCTTGGTCTTGATGGGTATGACTTGGTCTGGGGAGTGGGTGAAGATGGGGGGGGGGGGGTAAAAAATAAGTTTTTTTGATATGGGTATCAAATAAAAGTTAATTTAAATATCTTTTGACTCTAAGCATTCATTCTTGGTCTTGATGGTATGAATTGGTCTGGGGGGTAGGTGAAGAGGGGGGGGGTAAAAAAATAAGTTTTTTTTGATATGGGTATCAAATAAAAGCTAATTTAATGACTCTAAGCATTTATTCTTGGTCTTGATGGGTATGACTTGGTCTGGGGGGTGGATGAAGAGGGGGGGGGGGGAAATAAGTTTTTTTGATATGGGTATCAAATAAAAGGTAATTAAAATATTTTTTTATTGTATTAATGATAATCACTTTAAGCGGGTGGGTCTATGTCTTGGGGGGTCAGGAATATTTTTATAAACATAAAAATCGATATGGGTATCAAATAAAAGCTAATTTAAATTTCTTTTGACTGAAAGCATTTATTCTTGGTCTTGATGGGTATGACTTGGTCTGGGGGGTGGATGAAGAGGGGGGAGGGGTAAAAAATAAGTTTTTTTGATATGGGTATCAAATAAAAGGTAATTAGATATCTTTTTATTATAATAATTATAATCACTTAAAGGGGTCGGGTATAGGTTTTGAGGGGTCAGGAATATTTTTATCAACATAAAATATCGATATGGGTATCAAATAAAAGCTAATTTAAATTTCTTTTGGCTGAAAGCATTTATTCTTGGTCTTGATGGGTATGACTTGGTCTGGAAAATGGATGGAAGGGGGGGGGGTGTTAAAAAAAATAATTATAATATTTTTTTATTGTAATATAATAATAATCACTTTAAGCGGGCTCGTCTAGTCTTGGGGGGTCAGTAATATTTTTATCAACTTAAAAATGGGACTATTAAATAGAAGCTAATTAAAATATTTTTCTACTAAAATATTAGTATTCACTTTTGGTCTCTTAATGGGTTGGATTAGGTCCGGAGTAGGGAGAGTTAAAAAATAAAAATTTGATATTAAAAAATCAAATATAATATAAATGAAACCTCTTAAGACTATAATATTAAATAACAGTAAATGGTCGGGTCTAGGGCTTAGGAAGTCAGAATTTTTCTAAAATTTCTATAATATATAAATCGAATGTTAGACGAAGTCATACAAATCAAGACCAAGAATGAATGTTTCAGTCAAAAGATATTTAAATTAGCTTTTATTTGATATCCATATCGATTTTTATGTTTTTAAAAATATTCCTGATCCCCCCCCCCAAGACTGAGACCCACCCGCTTAAAGTGATTATTATTATTATAATAAAAACATATTTTAATTACCTTTTATTTGATACCCATATCAAAAAACTTATTTTTTACCCCCCCCCCCCTTCTTCATCTACCCCCCAGATCAAGTCATACTCATCAAGAACAAGAATGAATGCTTAGAGTCAAAAGATATTAAAATTAGCTTATATTTGATACCCATATCAAAAAAACTTATTTTTTTACCCCCCCCCTTCACCCACCCCCCAGACCAAGTCATACTCATCAAGACCAAGAATGAATGCCTAGAGTCAAAAGATATTTAAATTAGCTTTTATTTGATACCCATATCGATAATTTGTTTATAAAAATATTCCTGATCCCCCAGACCTAGACTCGCCCATTACGGGGGAGAGATTGACCACCAGTTGAATAGATCTTTTGATTAGCTATCGATTGATACCCTATGTTAGACATAATCTATTTCATAAGGTCAATAAAACAACATTGAAAATTAATAAATAACAATAAAATTAAAAAGAAATAAAACGAAACGCGCGTAAAACGCTTTTTAAAATAAGATTCCTCTTTATATCACGGTTCAAACTGAAGTAATTTTATTAAGGAGAGGTAAAGGTTATAGACACATAGGCCTAGACAGGGAGTTAAATAGAGAAATTCTCCTACTAAACCTTTTTTTTAAATATAAATTTAACATCCCCTATAGAGCAGTTCCTCCTTTTCTTTTGGTAATCGAGTCAGAAGTGTCCTGGACATGAAGATCCGGACAGAGTACCTCGGACAAAAGTACCCTAAAATTCATTGGACAAAAATAAACCCGGAGATTCATCCGGGCAGAAAGGTACCAAACATAAAGACTCTTGGATAAAAAAGACACCATTTAATCATTTTTTTTTTAAATGTTAAGAAAAATGGAAAGTTTAAAAAAAATTTATTAATTTTTTCCATACATTCACTAAAATAAATATTTGGTTAATAAGTTGTAGCAGTGTTCGCTGGTTTTAAAAGATGGTTCACATATGTGAATTAATGGGATATTGTTATTTAAAGTTTGTGACTACAAAATAAAACTCGTTTTAAAGGCTATAATCCAAAATTTTTAAAAAAAATTCGAAAAATTTTAAGATTGTATATATTTAAGTATTAAAATTTAAAAAATTGTCTAGTATGTTTTGTAAATGTTTTTATTTTTATGTTTAAAAATATAGACTTATCTTATTTATATTTTTCATTAAAGTTTCGAAAGTTTGTGAATTTAATTTTTGATAATTTAGGACACAACCAAATGAAAATTTTTTGCAGTTTGATAAATAATTAATAAAAAAGATATACAAAAAAGTTGTTATTTAATTGACATCTGGTAGGTAGTGAGTTCCGTCAGAAACTGTTTTTAGGGATCCCATTTTTCTGAAACTAGCCGGCACTAGCAGTTCCAAGGATTATCCTGAATTCACAGTAAGCGCGAATTCGTGGTGAAGTATACAAAAATATGCTATATAATTAATGCATTTTTGTCACGTGTTTAGAGGGTTATGAGCGGGTAAGCCTCCCACCCACAACTATAGTTGGGTAATGACTAAATGTCCGCTCAATCTATAAGCGCCTGCCGGAGAAAGTCCGTTAACATTAATGCGTTATAATTTATATTTTTTTCTTTCAAATCTGAGCCGCTATATTTCAAAGAAAAAATCCCAAGGTCAAAGTGATAGCTTTAGGCTAAAAACTAGGTTTAGCCGATTTTTTTAGTCTGCTAAAAATTGACTTAAGCTGCTATATAATTATTACCCTACAACCCACCGCTAACTTTGAACTTTGAAAAATCCTGGATACTCCTATTGTGGGCTAGGATAAGTCTGTATAAAATTTTTGGATGAGTTGACGGTAAACCTATTTCATTTTTTTGGTGGGTAAATTTTAAGATTGATTTGTTTTGTTTTTTTAAATAAATTTTTCCATACCTTGACATTTCAAATATTTTCTTAACAATTTTAAATAAAATTCTTAAAAATCATTTTTTAAAAAAAATAATGATTAATTTTTTTTAACCCCCTTCCAGAAAGATCATATATCAAAAAATAAATCATTTTTAAAAAACAATTATCAAAAAGAGAAATAAATTTATTACAAGGGGATATTTGAGTTAAGACCAAAAGCTCTTAATGATGGTTGCCTTCACGTGGCTAAGAGCGGAAACAGAAAACATTTGTAATTTAAATATTTTATGGCTAAAACTATCGAAAATATTTATAGATTATAATAAATAAAACAATTTAATTCGGATAGAAATCAAAAATTTAGAAAATTCAAAGAATTTTAAAAGAATTTTAAAAAATTAATAAACAAAAAGATAGGATTTTAAAAATATTATCTTCTAGATTAAAAAAATCTCTTACTAGGTGATCTCTCAAATTGCAGAAGAAATTCATGACATTGGTGGATATTTGCCTAAAGAGGTCTAAGCAGGTTAGTTAAAAATCATGGGAGTCGACAGATTATGTATCTATTGCACTTAGTTATTAAAAAATGAATAGAATAAGGCTAAATATTACATATATATACTAAGCATATAATATCTAATCTGAGTTCAATAATATAAATATATTCAAAATTACTTTTAAAATGTTAACCTTTCCCCTATAAATGTCTTTCGCGACAAAATATTTATTTTGTGAACCGGAAACGTAAAAAAATACACCTAAGCGGTTTTGGATAGAGAATTTAATTCTGAGTTCAATGATATAAATATTATAAAAATTACTTTTAAAATGTTAGCCTTTCCCCTATAAATGTCTTTCGCGACAAAAAATTTATTTTGTGAACCGGAAACGTAAAAAATACATCTAAGCGGTTTTGGATAGAGAATTTAATTTTGAGTTCAATGATATAAATATTATAAAAATTACTTTTAAAATGTTAGCCTTTCCCCTATAAATGTCTTTCGCGACAAAATATTTATTTTGTGAACCGGAAACGTATAAAAATACATCTAAGCGGTTTTGGATAGAGAATTTAATTCTGAGTTCAATGATATAATATTATAAAAATTACTTTTAAAATGTTAGCCTTTCCCCTATAAATGTCTTTCGCGACAAAAAATTTATTTCGTGAACCGGAAACGTAAAAAAATACATCTAAGCGGTTAAATTCTGATTTTAATGATATAATTATATTCAAAATTACGTTTAAGATGTTAGCCTTTCCCCTCTTAAATGCTTCAAATTAAAAATACCTTAAAAAATTTATGTTTCTCATTTACTTCTTTATCAAGTAATTACAATATATTTATACTTAATAAATATATAAAATCATAACCAAATATTAATTTAATTAAAAATATTAATTTAAAAATTAATATAATAAAATTAATTTTTAAAAACCACAAATTATTTCAAAGAAATAAAAAAATTGAAAAGATCTTAAAATTTCCATATTTTTAATATATTATAATGTAATGTAATTATAATATTTTTTCTCTAAAAAAAGCAATAAATCAATCAAATATCTCATTAGACATTTTCTTTGTTATTTTTATTTTCAATATTATTTTTTAGCCTTTCGAATTACCAAGCCTTTCGACTTATAGACCTTGCGGCCTTTCGACTTTTAGACCTTGCGTTTTATTTATATTATATATATTGTATCTTATTTATTGTATTATGTTAAAAAGTTATTTTATGTTTACAACAAAATAAATAAATATTGTGTAATTTATATAATTTGAAGATATATGGTAAAAATCTATTTAATAAAAGATTATAGGCTTTTTAACATCTAAGGTTTCACAAATTGTATAAAATCAAAAAAAAAATATCATAATGTTCAAATGAAGATATTTGATTATAATTTCTTTAAAATAATTCTTTGTATAAAGGGATCCCTTTAAAACCCGCGATGATCCCGGATAGTTCTGATCCCTTTAAAAATTACGACAATACTGGGGTTTTGAAATCTTTATGATTCTAAAACGAGAAACTATTTTTTTTTAATAAAATTCTGTATTAGTATATTGGATTCGAACTTTCATATCATCATTTTCTTTTGTAGAAAATTGAGTAAAATTTAACAAAAAATAAAATTACCTAAAACGAATTATTCACAATTCGATTTTATTTCATAAGATTCGTATTTTATGAATAAAAAAATTATTTGATTCGAATCGAATAAAGAAAATATATTATCTGTGGAATATTTTTTTTTATCTATTTATTATTCGATCGAATTTTTCTTATTATTTGAAATAATTTATAAATATTAGAAATTATTCGTAATTAAATATTCCAAATTATTTGTTAATATTTCAAATTATTCAGAAATATTCAAACCCAGAAATATTTGACATGATTCATAAGTATTTAAAAGTTCCTTGAAAAGTTTTTACTTTTTTTTATAACTTCTATAAATCACTTATTAAATTTTAATATCCTTTTTGAATATATTTTTGAAGAATTTAATTTTTGGCATCGAATATTCGATGAATCAAATCCAATAATGTTTTCATTATTCGAACGGATACAAATAAGGAATTATTTAATTCGTACTAATAAGAATAATATAATTATTCGATTCTAAAACACGAATTATGTAAATATTTGATTTGATTCGTATTTTTGTAGGAGATTCAAAGAATTTTTTATTTTTATATGTAAAAAATTTTAAATAAGAATATTAAATTTAAAAACTTTTTTTTTATTGAGGAAATATTAATTAAGCAGAAGAAATAATTATAAGAGTCTTCTTAAAAATTAAAAAATATTAGATAACTTTTTCATAAGTTCTATATCTCTTTTAAATTATTGAGGAATAATTTTGATCAAATAAATTTATGCTCGAATTTAAGCTCTTCACGAAAATTAGAAAGTATTAATAATAAATTTTTATCTGTTTTATATTAGCATTGTTGAACGGCCCAATAATTATATTTTGTAAGCCTGTAGATTTTACACATATATGGCAGAAAGTTTTTACCTCTATTTGCCAAATCTCTAATCTTGCATAATATTAATTTGGCTAAAATCTTAATCAGGCCGTCCAAAACATCACTATTATATATATCTCTTATATTATTCAGGAATTTGTTGATTAGACCATAATTACTTCTTAGATTTATTAATGTTTGAATCTTTGAATTATAGAAAAGTTTTTTTTTTAAATAAAAAATATTATAAAAAAATAATACAATAGCAACAACCAAAAATGATTTATATTTTAATTTCTATACCTAAAAAATAAATTCTCATCATGTACATAAAAAAATTTATAAACAAAAAATAAAATATTATTTGAAAAAAAAACATGATCTAACTTTGTCTGTTTATAAAATAAATAAAAAATATAAAAAATGTATCAGACAGGATTTTGCAAAAAAAATAATTATATAAAATAGTTAAAATTAAATTTTATCCACACCTTTATTTCATTTTTTCTGGAATTATTTAGAAGGGTAAATAAATGAGAAAGCCGTTTATTTTAGCTCGCTATAACACCTGGTTCTTAAGATATAGGGGCTCAAATCTGTAAAATTTTTAAAATGCTTATATCTCAAAAATAATTATATATCATATTGTAAGTAAAAATATTCTCTAAAGGGCTATCAAAAAATAATAAAAATTGGCGCCAAATTGAGTCTTTAACATTCGGTTTACCTATAATGCTTTACCTGTATTTTTAAGCAAAAAAGGGAGTTTGTTTTCAATGATATAATAAAATATATATTTATTAAATAATGTGAACAGGAATTCCATTAGTGTTGTTAAACGGCTCTTTTTGAGCCGATTTTTAAAAACGGCTAAATCAATATTTTAACCAGAAAACAATTGTCTAAGCATCGAGTTTTCGATAATAGATGTCTAAACCTTTGTGCCATCTATCCGGATCTGGACCTTGGGTCTGAACTCTGGGTCTGTGCTCGGGGTTCGTGCTCAGAGCTGGTTTTGTCGATATTTTAGACCCAAACACCGGGTCTGGGCTCTACACAACCAACCAATTAACAACACTACTTATGCAGGTAAAAATAATTTTATATGTAAATAGAAAAATATCAAGTGCAGAAAAGGCTAATTTTATGTAATATTAAAGAACTTTTCATTCACTTTAGAGAGACTCATAACGATATACAGTTAGGTCTGAGTAGATTTGCCTTCTTACGACTTAAAAACTGTGTAGCAGGTGGTCCAGGTACACATACCATGTGTATCTGCACATTACATTAAAATTTTAAGCTTATTTTAATAGGTGGAAAATTAAAACAGCTAACAAACAATATTGGTCATTATAATTATCCTGTGTAAAAACAGAACATATAAATTAATTAATAATAACTAATTTGAAATATTCGTCCTCTAGTCGACTCAATTATATATTTCGTATTCATGGTCATGAAAGTCTAAAGTAAATAAATGTAAAAAATAGATCACAAATATCTTAATTAATAAAATTTGAAATATTCGTCTTCTAGTCAACTCACGTTCATATAAGTATAATTATTCGTCCTCTAGTCGACTCAAGTATATATTTTGTATTCATAACTCAAGTTGGAAGTCTAAAGTAAATAAATGTAAAAATCAGAACAAATATCTTAATAAATAAAAACTAATTTGAAATATTCGTCCTCTAGTCGACTCAAGTTCATAGAAAACTATTTATCCTCTAGTCGACTCAAGTATATAATTCCTATTTGCAACTCAAGTTGGAAGTCTAAAATAAAAAAAAGTAATAAACAACAAATATCTTAATTAATAATAACTAATTTGAAATATTCGTCCTCTAGTCGAATCAAGTTCATAGAACTATTCGTCCTCTAGTTGACTAAAGCATATAATTCCTATTTAAATCTCAAGTTGGAAGTCTAAAATAGAAAAATGTAAAAAACAGAACAAATCTTAATTATTAATAATTAATTTGAAATATTCGTCCTCTAGTCGACGACAAGTTTATAAAAATATTCTTCCTCTAGTCGACTCAAGTATATAGACTTGAGTTCACGACTTGAGTCGACTTGTTCACGAATTGAGTCGATTTGAGTTCACGACTCGAGTTCATAACTCAAGTCAGTTTATCTTGATGTTAACTTTGTTGATTGGTTTGGTAGTCAGTTTAAATTCACAATCTTTTATTAATTTATTTATTCCATCTTCATAATTGATATCGATGTTTGCTATAAACTTGTTCAAAATATTACTAAAGGCATTGATCCACATTCGTCCCAATAATGCATTTTTATTAGACTTTACGATCACTGCTAGCAAGTGTTTGGCGATACCATCGTAGCTTACTTTAACTTGAGTTATGCCGATAATTTCAATTAAGTTTCCATCATAAGCTGAGAGTTGTAGAGTGGACTTTTTAAGATCTTTAATACCTATTTGTTTAGCTATTTCATGAGGTAAAATCGTGAATTTAGATCTATTATCGACTTGCATAGTAACGGTAACATCGTTTACTTTTAAGGAAGTCATAAATGCATTGTCATTGAGTTTATGCTCGCTTAAATTGTTGACATTAAAATCACTATCATTATTATTTTGTATAACATCATTTTTATTTTCCACAATCTCTTCAATATTCATATTGCAATTGTTGCTATTACTTTGGCTCTGATCATGATTTTGTATTTGTTTTCTTAGATTATAGTTTTTCCATGTATTGTTTCCTCCATCACTATTATTGTAATGATTGTAGGACTCATATCGGTTACCATTTCGATCATCATATTGATTCTGATTTCTTTGGTTGTTGTAAGACTAGGAGACGTTTCTCCCAAAGTTATTATTATTTTGCCAGGCATTATTTCTATCATAATTGTTTGAATTGCTATTATCGTGCCACCTGGAGTTTCTTCCGTTATATTTTGAATTGTTGTTGTTTTGCCAGGCATTGTTTCTATCATAATTGTTTGCATTATTGTTATTGTGCCACATGGAGTTTCTTCCATAATAGTTTGAATTGTTGTTCGAAGATTGGTTATTACGAAAATTTCTAGAGTTACCCTCACTGTCTCGAAAATTATTGTTTTGATAGTTTCGGCTAGCATTATCATTAGGCCTAAAATCATTATAATTCCTCTTCTTAAAATCAAAATTTTCCCTACGAGTGTTACGTCCATTATAATTAAAATTATTTTCTCTAAAATTATTACGTTCATTATCATTAGAATTATTCTCATTATTACTAAAAGTACTTTTGCATGTTTATAAATATTTGAATTAGAAATTTTTTTATTTTTATCCAATTTTTTATCATTGTATACATAATTTGTATCGCTAACGTCTGGTTTAATATTACTACCATCTAACTCAACTCCTAATTTCATTATCTCATCTACAGTCCAGTCCTTATGCTTATTCAGCTTCCTTCTGATATGATCGTTTAAAGTAGACGTTATCGATTTCTCCTTAATTCTACAGTCATCTAGGAAATTGCACTTCTTATGTAATTTATGTATTCTATAGAAAAATGTATAAAAAGACTCGTCGTCACGTTGTACCGCTAATTTAAAATTTTTTATACATAAATTTATATCTTCCCTCGGAATTAATAATTTGAGTTTATTAAAAATAACCTTATAATCTTTTAACTGTGCCTTTGAACACACAGATGTGATTTTGTCATAAATGTCAATTGATAAGTTACCTAATAAGGTCCTAGCCTTAGATACGTCAGACGAAATGTAATCCTCAAAGTATGTCTCAACCATATCAAAGTATGTGTCCGTCATCTCTCCAATAAGTTTTGGAAATCTGAGATAAGGATCGCATATAGTAGTAAGTTTATTGTCCATAATTAGCATTAAGTTTATTGTCCATAATAAAAATTTTACTTTAAGAAAATACTATATGTTTTAAGTTATGAATTTCATATCGAACAAAAAAATTATGTTCATCGTCAAACGGAATTAAATAATTCTATGTCTTTAAATTTTATATCGTCAAAGCAAATCAAAAAAAAAATCCTATGCTTTAATTTTGAGTCGTCAAAGGAAATTAGATAATTCAATCTCGTTGAATTTTATGTCGTCAAAGGAAATTGGATAATTCTTTAAATTTAAGTTTTTAAAGAAAACTAGATTATTCTAAATCTCTAATTTTAAGTTATAAAAGAAAATCAGATAATATTATGTCTTTATATTTAAATTATCAAAATAGATCAGAAAATACTATAACATGAAAAAATGTGTAATTCGTATTCAATTTATATACTATAATTTGTAGCATAATAAGCGTATCAAAATATAAATTGGCGTAAAATTGTAAGTTTTAACTTTTACCTTTTGTTAATGTATATATCAGAATAATATTTTACTATATATATTTATTTTTTTTTAAAAAAAAAGAAAAAGACAAGTCATGTCCTTCGAATTTACTTTTTTTTTAAATTTAAGGCAAATTTTGTATGTTTAAATTTTTTTTTTAACAAAAACGTGCCGGGGCACCATAAAAGAAACAAGAAAGAAACAACTTTGTATTTTGGTTTTAAATTACTTTTATTTCTACTTTTAAAAAATAAAATAATAATAATATATGTATAATAATCAACTAGTATATATACTAAAACATTTCAATAGATATTTAAATTAATACTCAATTAACATCAAAATAAATTATTTCACAAATTTGAATAAACAACACAATTAACAGATATATTAATATAAAACCCGGCCGAAGGCCCGCAAATTAGGGGCTATGGGGGGCGTCCCTCCCCCATAAAAAATTTCCTAGGTTGATCTCCCTGAGATTGCAAAGGCTAGCGACGCCCCTGGATCTATTGAGAAAAACTCATTACAAAATGCTCTTTCCATTAATAATTTTTTTTATTCTAATGATGATTCAGTGAATATTTTTAATAATTATGTTAATTAAAAAAAACATTTATTGAATATAACACACCTTTACCATCAAGCGCTCTTGTGGAGCGCTTGTTTAGTAGAATAAACATGTACTTAATGAAAAACGTGGTTGTTTAAATGATGATAATTTAGAAAAAAGTTTATTATTAAAGGCTAATTTAATTATAAATAAATATATTCTAATTGTTATACTTATATTATATTATTCAATTACAATAAATTTATACCATATTTATTTATTTTTTATATTAGTTAATTTTGCATAAATCCGAAATTTAAATAAGAAAAGGATCGTGATCGCGATCGCCTGGGTATAATATTATTAATAATTTTTTATCAAAAATGAATATATGCTTTTTTATTTCAACTTAAAGTGTATGAGCCAAAATAAATCATGGGGATCTTAGAATACCCTTTTATTAAACATTTATTTTATTTTTTATTTATAATTATTTTCTATATAATTATATTTCAGATAATATACTAAATAATATATGTGAACAAAGTAATTTATGCAGTTTTCATCAAATAAATCAATAGCTAAATGTTGAAATGAATTAGAACAATTTTTAGGCATGCATCTTTTTTCTTCTTTAATTAGAGTTCCTTTATATAGACATTATTGGTCTACGGAATTAGCGTTCTCTCAAATTACGGAAACTATGTCTCGTATCAGGTTTCAAATATTGCGAAAATATTTACATTTTAGCGATAATTCTTAACTTATCCAGAGAAATCAAGATGGATATGATAAATGTTTGAAAATTAGACTCTTTATTTCAGGTATTCAAAACAATATGCGAAAAATAGAGATGGAGGAAAGAGTATGTCTTGAAATAATCAACCCATTCAAAGGGCGGAATACTTTAAAATAATATATAAAATCGAAGCCTAACAAATGTGGTATCAAAGTTATTGCATTAGCCAGATCCTCCGGTATTGATTGATTTTAAGATTTATGCGGGAAAGCAAACTAATCCAATACCATCAGAAATAAGGATAAGTGGTGATATAGTTTTTCAATGGCTAAAAATATCCTGAAATTTCAAAATCCTAAACTCTCTTGTGATAACTACTTTTCTTTAATAGCATTGGCTAAAAAATTTAAATAAATCGGTATATTTATGGTAGGAACTATTAGAAGTAATCGGATGAAAGATTGCAATATGTGTGTAAAGTTGATAAAAAAGAAAATATAATAATTGTCAAATGGTATGACAATAAGTTTATACACGTCATCTCATCCTTTGTCGTTGTTTATGTGATAGTAAATGTAAAAAGATAGTCATTAAGTAGCAAAAAATTATTGAAGTACCAAAATTAAATATATTAAAAATATATAATAAAGGTATGGAGGGAGTTGATTTACATAATATGCTTGTTGAATGCCATCGAGTAGATATCAAAGGTAAAAGGTTTTTTCTGGGAATTATTTTTCATCTCATTGATATGTGTGTAGTAAATTCATGGCATCTGTATAGGCGGTAAATATGCCACGAAAAAGAGAACAAATTCATGAACCTATCAAATTGGCAGGCAAAATTAGTAAAAGAAAATCAGGGAAACCTTTAAATGAACCAATAATTTAAAAAAAAATTCTTCTATAATGGATCCTATATCTGATATTGATATGACAATATTAGTCATTAGCCGGATGCCTGCGAAAGGAGGCCAAGATGCAAGTTATGCATACTCCTCAAAATGTGCAAAATGTAATATATAATTATGTTTTAATCTGTCAATAAATTTGGACTGATTTTATTTTATATTTTAAATTATATTAACTTAATTTTTACCTCACGGACTTATTGTATTATTTCTTTTACTTTACATAATATTAAGTTTCATTGATTGTTATCACAAAATTGAATTTGGAAATGTATATATAGACAGGAAATTTATTAGATAGATAGCTGTATTTTAAAATAAATAAATTCAATATAAAACCTTGTCTTATTTCTTGTTGTCTTATACAATAAATCCCACGATATCAGCATGGTGGCAGCGGAGGGATCTATTGTATAAGACAACAAGAAATAAGACAAAGTTTATTTTGAATTTATTTATTTTAAAAGGATAAACCAAAAGATTCATAAAAGAATGTATAATAAAATTACTAATATATTTGGCCTGATCTTATTTTATATTATATTAACTTAATTTTTACCTCACATACTTATTGTATTATTTCTATCACTTTACATAAAATTAATAGTTTCATTGATTGTTATCACTAAATTGAATTTGGAGTATATAGAGACATGAAATTTATTAGATAGAAATAGTTGCAGTTGCATTTTTAAATTAATAAAATTAAATAAATTTCGTCTTGTTTTTGGTTATTTATTTTATTCGCCACAACGTTAGCAATTTCTAGCTTTTTAAGAAGTTAATTTAGATTTAATATTTTACATATTTCTTTTTATTTTATTATTTGGTTCAGCACTATAGTAGTGTAGAATCCCTACGTTCACCATGCTGACGTTGTGGTGGATAAAATAAAATAACCAAAAAACAAGAAGAAATATATTTTGATTTTATTAATTTAAAAATACAACTATCTCCATCTAATAAATTTCATGTCTATATATACTTTAACCAAATTCAATTTAGTGATAACAATAAAAAAAACTATTAATATTATGTAAAGGAAAGAAATAATACAATAAGTCCGTGAGGTAAAAATTAAGTTAATATAATTTAAAATAAAATCAGTCCAAATATATTGACATTCTTCGACCTTCTTATATGTTTCTCGGAATAGTCATAGAACTTGCTTCCAATCGTTTGTTGTACGTCATCCTGTGGTGATCTTCTCGTTCAAATCTTTATTATAAACTCGTCATTTGTTTAGTAATTGGAATAATTTATTGAATGTCGAATATTGAATGGAATGAGAATAATTGCTATATGATAAGTTTCATGTTTTATATTCATATTAACGTTTATGAATATTAAACAGGAAAATTGTTATGTTTTGCTTGTAAATTAATGTTTTTTTTATTTTTAATAAAATACGCTATTTATTAAGTATTTTTCTAAGTCGTGTATGAGATCTTTTACATATCTCATCCACGGACATAATAAAATCTCTAAACCTCTCAGGCTTTTTTATGTTTGAAACGGCCTCAGTGTCAAAATATTAACTATCGCAATACTCAGAACAGCACAACAGGCGTAGCACCAAGCAAATTATTATTATCACATAACACTGGAATAATGGGATCTATAAAAAAGATAACCACGAATATAAAAACAGCTAACAGGGTGATAAATAAAGGAGATAATGTATAGTACAAAACATTTTTTGAAAATAAATGGGACAAAGGTATTGTCACAGGAAAAGAAAATGTTTTTATTCTACAGGATTGATACCGGATACAAAGTAATAGACGTTATTTGAATCAAATAAAAAAAGATCACATGGCATGACCAGTATTGACGATTATGATCAGGACTCATCCGCCAAAATCTTCTTTAAGAAGCGAAAGGTTGAGGTTAATATTTCGACACCGAGACCGGTTCGAACATTAAAAAAACCTGAGAGGTTTAGAGATTTAATCATTTCCGTAAATGAGACATGCAAAAGATCTCAATATACAAACCAGAAAAATACTTAATAAATAGCAGAGACCTGCAAGCCCGGCCCTAATCCCGGCCAGGGCCGTATTTTAAATTTAAAAAAAAACCCGGGCCGGGCCTGATAATTTTTTTTTAAATACTCGGTCCAGGCCGTATTTTTTTAAAAAAATTTATACAACATGAATTATTATATTCGTCAATTAGATATGGTTATAATGATTATTATAGTTATGATTAATATAATGTTTGGTGAAAGTTAACACTAGCTAACACTCATAGTATCTATTACATAATATAATTATAGTTTTCCTGCCTTGGAATAAATACGCAAAGGATTAAATACATTATTATATAATATATGT